GGAATCATCATGATGGTGATAGCGGTAAAACTATGAGCGCGCCTATGCGCGTGCTCGTGCGCGTACCACGTGAAAAGCTCCCAAGCCACGGGGACAGCTCGGCTAACCCCCAGAGAGCAGAGAGCAAGGACAAGTTCGGGCCACGCCCCGGCTGCTCGTTCTGACCCTCCGTGTCCGGGCCTCGTCCCGGCGTTGAAATCCTCGGGTGCGTCCTGGACTAGGCATCGCCCCACCTCGCCCCCACGTTGGTCTGAAGCGGCGTTCGTCACGGCCAGCTGCTGTTCTGGTCTCGGAGCGAGACGCTGTCCCAGGTCTGTTCGCGGCAGACGGGCGGTACGCTGTTCTCGGTGGTGTACAGGCAAGCCCAGGCGTTGACCACCGTACTGGGATGGCCCTGGCGGTTATCTTCTAGACCGGGCCCCGCCTCGGTACGAACTCCGCAAGCACAAGGCACACCACCTCCTGACTACCAGAGAGCTCAAGGTCAAGCGCAACGTTCACGCCCCAAGAGTAGAATGTGAGTGGACGAACAAGAACATTAACTCCCTTTCGTGTAGGACCGTGAACGCGTGTATATATGTGTGAGTTTATGTTGTGTGTATCCCTTTGTCTGTCTTCGTGTATATAAAAGTCTCTCGTTGTCCTCGAACGTCCTCTGTCCTCATCTGGCTAACCTGCGCCCACAGTTGCCCACAAATTTTGGCGAACTTGCACACCTCATGGACCCGCAGATCAAGTACCACTAGGTGATAGTGCTGCAGCAGTGAAAGAAACACGCGCCACAACCAAGCTACCTGTTCTGAAAGCCACTGCCACAATCATAGATAAAGTGACGCTTGAGGAATACCAAAGAAATGACCCATCGTTACGGCAGTGTTATGAGAGTCTTGGTAAAAAGTTCATAGTAAAGAATCGCGAAACCTGCTTCTTTCTTGTAGATGGTATCTTGTATAGGAAACACAAGCTACTCTCGGAGAAGGAACTCGAACAACTGGTCGTACAGAGACAACTGCGAGAGACTGTGCTCGAACTAGCCCATGAAGGTATCCTCGCCGGACACCAAGGGTTATCCCGAACAACTGACCGTATTCTTGCCGAATTCTTCTGGCCAGGTGTTCAATCAGAAACCAAGAGGTTTGTGAAGTCCTGCGATATCTGTCAGCAGACTGTCCCACGCCATTTGGTTGGTCGGGCTCCGCTAGGTACCATGCCAATCATTGAGACCCCGTTTTCACGTGTGGGCATCGACATCATCGGTCCTTTGTCACCGACATCTTCCAAGGGCAACAGGTACATTCTAACCATGGTGGATTTTGCAACAAGATATCCAGACGCCATCGCACTTCCTTCCAGTGAAAGCAAGGTCGTGGCAGAGGGACTAATGGAAATGCTGTCGCGAGTTGGTCTGCCACGCGAAATTGTAAGCGACCGCGGGACAAGCTTCATGTCGTCGGTTATGAAGGAGTTCAGCCGGCTACTATCTATCAGGCGATTACCGACAACCCCTTACCATCCGATGGCAAACGGGTTAGTGGAAAGATTCAACGGCACGTTGAAGCAAATGCTCCGCCGAATGAGTCGGGAAAGCCCGGAAGATTGGGACCGCTACCTCGGCCCCCTCCTTTTCGCGCATCGGGAGATGCCACAAAAGAGTACTGGATACTCGCCGTTCGAGTTGCTTTATGGCCGATACGTTCGCGGCCCAATGACGATTTTGAGAGACTTGTGGACTAACCCAAAGTTGGATGACACGACCAAGTCAACCTACGAATACATCGTAGAATTGCGGGAACATCTGCAACGAACCTGTGAAATAGCATCTCAGGACCTTGCGAAGGCACATGTTCGTCAGAAGACTTACTATGATCGCAAGGCGAAGAAGCGGGACATAAGCGTGGGTGACAAAGTTCTCGTGCTGCTACCCGCCGATCACAACAAATTGACACTAACATGGAAGGGCCCCTTTACTGTGACAGACAAGAAAAGCCCATTGGATTATGCTGTGGACCTCGGTCACAGAACAACTGTCTTCCACATAAACATGCTCAAAAAGTACGAGCTGCGGAATGCCTCGGACACGTCAACGACGACAGCTGCTGCTGTAACGTCAATCCATCAAGTGGAGTCTACTCTTGATGGACTACGATTTCCACGTAGAATACACTCAGGGCTCAGATAATGTCGGTGCCGACTATCTTAGCCGCACATCTCTTACTACTGACTAGGCTGTCCGATTACTCGTACAGATACACAAAGAACTCATGACGCGGGTAATACGTTGTCTACTCTATGAACATGCCTACCCTTTTTACCCCACCATTTCGCTGTTCTTGAACTGGGGGGAAGATGTGGTAAAAAAACGCTGCCCTGGAGAGTGTGCGTCATGCTTTGACGTAGGAAATCGATGTGCGGGGCCGATTTAGTATTTCAAGGTGCACGGGAATCATCATGATGATGATAGCGGTAAAACTATGAGCGCGCCTATGCGCGTGCTCGTGCGCGTACCAGGTGAAAAGCTCCCGAGCCACGGGGACAGCTCGGCTAACCCCAGAGAGCAGAGAGCAAGGACAAGTTCGGGCCACGCCCCGGCTGCTCGTTCTGACCCTCCGTGTCCGGGCCTCGTCCCGGCGTTGAAATCCTCGGGTGCGTCCTGGACTAGGCATCGCCCCACCTCGCCCCCACGTTGGTCTCAAGCGGCGTTCGTCACGGCCAGCTGCTGTTCTGGTCTCGGAGCGAGACGCTGTCCCAGGTCTGTTCGCGGCAGACGGGCGGTACGCTGTTCTCGGTGGTGTACAGGCAAGCCCAGGCGTTGACCACCGTACTGGGATGGCCCTGGCGGTTATCTTCTAGACCGGGCCCCGCCTCGGTACGAACTCCGCAAGCACAAGGCACACCGCCTCCTGACTACCAGAGAGCTCAAGGTCAAGCGCAACGTTCACGCCCCAAGAGTAGAATGTGAGTGGACGAACAAGAACATTAACTCCCTTTCGCGTAGGACCGTGAACGCGTGTATATATGTGTGAGTTTATGTTGTGTGTATCCCTTTGTCCGTCTTCGTGTATATAAAAGACTCTCGTTGTCCTCGAACGTCCTCTGTCCACATCTGGCTAACCTGCGCCCACAGTTGGCCACAGCGTCATTACTTCCCTTAAATGTTCACACAAATCAGCACGTATCACAGACAATGTCGCACCTGTGTCCACCAAAGCATCGACTCGCACTCCTTCCACTTCCACAGAAACCATGTTGCACGGGCCTGATGGAGGAATTTCAGTTCTAATTCCGAATGCAGTTTTTCCTCCACAAACTGCATCACTTAGTTTTCCGAATGAATATCAGAGGTGAATGAGGCGGGCCGAAGTGGAACAGCAAAAGGGCGAAGGCGAGCGGCGTCTCGTGTTTCGGCTGTTTCGTGGTGCAGTCGATGCAGGAGGAGATGGAGAACGGTGCGGGGGAGACGAATAACGCCGACCTTGATAAGACGCCCCGGCGTACAAATCCCGTTCACGCACGTCGTTCCGACGCTCATCTTGCTGGCGCTTTCGGCAGAAACGAGATATGTGGCCGCGATAGCCACAGTAGTAGCATACAGGGCGAGACGAGCGCCACGGTGGGGAATAGAAGGCATTCAAGGCATCCGGAGATAGCGCGGTCAGGTAGACCGAAGGGTCAGGGGGCACGGAATGGTAGTTCACCGGAGGAGCGGCGGCAACTGACGCGTAGGATGGACGCGGCAATGTCGCGTGGGCGTCGCCGGGAGGCACGGCAGCAACTTGAGGGTACGTGGATATAGGGTGAGAAGCAGGTGGCTGTACGGGCGCAGAGCCAGTCGGGGATGTAAGTTCCTCCGTGATGATGTCACGTAAGGACATTCCCGAAGGCTGTGTAGGTCGCAGTGTAGGAGGTGTGAAGCCCACGGACCGCAATTCTTCACGTATAATGTCCCGGATGAGGTCACGCATATGGCCATCTGACGTGGAGTGGTGGTCGCCAATGTCCGGTTGAAAGCGAACGGAGTCCAGCGCATCAAGGCGCTGGCATGTCGTCACGACATCAGCAATGGTAGCTGGGTTTTGCACAGCGAGGGCATTAAAGGCAGCAGGCCCAATCCCTTTAAATATATGGCGCACTTTGTCCGATTTCGGCATGGATTGATTGACACGCTGGCAGAGTACGAGGACATCCTGGATGTATGAAGTGTACGATTCACCGGGATGTTGTCGGCGAGTATCGAGTGTCCTCTTCGCGACGGCGGATCGAATGTCTGGTGTCCCAAAGACGTGTCGCAGCTGCTGCTGGAAGGTAGCCCAGTCGGGTAAGTCAACGACGTGGTTAAAATACCATGTCTTCGCGACTCCAATCAGATAAAAAGGCACGTAACGCAGTTTGGCGGCCTCGTCCCACCTATTAGCGGCACTTACGCAGTCGTAGTCATCAAGCCAGTCTTCTACATCTTCTCCCCGAAGACCAGCAAAGAGCGGGGGTTCCCGCTGATGTCCGTGTATGTAAGTAGGAGGGGCAGCTTGCGGCGGTGCGTGGTTGATGACATCAGTGCCAGCAGGCTCGGTCTGGGACATGCTGCCTGACTGTGGGCGCAAGCGGAGGCCTGAACGAAGCTCCAGGGGGTATAGCGGGCTGCGGGAGGTCAGAGGACCGAAAATCCACCTCCACCACGTATGAAGTCTTGGTAGTCTTGGCTGCGTCAGCGTTTATTTGAGGAAAGACCTCGCAAAACGAACGGGCAGAGCCAGTACACAGACGATGACGATGATGATGACCCAGAGTGGCAATGAGGACAAAGAGACAAGCTGATGATGGTGATTGTGATCATGCAGGGATGATGACGATGTAAGTAACAAATGCCCCCAATATTTATACTTGGTGGTGCTCTTCAGAGAACGCCCTTGTTGAACAACAAACACTGATAAAAATTGCAGCTGTAAAACAAGACCATGCCGTTCGCACATTCCCGCATAGGAGAGGGAATCGGGGTGACTGACCAGGTCTCGGATCTTCTCGGGTTTGAGGTCTCCCCGATTGACCAGGACCTGGTGGCCTACTTTGCAAGACCAGCTGAATGCCGTGAGGCACGTACGAGCCAGGTTCTTCCTGCACACAAGCAAGGTTTGTCTATACTCGACATATCGTAATGCAATAAGCATGTCCTACACATACAGACCTTAAGCACACACAGAGACACGCTTGATCATTGTACATTTTTAGCTGAGCACTACAACTGATACAGCAAAAATATGAAACAACAAAACAAATTTTTAATGGCTGGTGAACTTCCTTCTATGTATTCAAAAATGAAAATAACATTACAGAAAAGATTGCAAATATAGCCAAACAGCAATGCCTCTATTAAACTCATTGACGCTTTGATAGAAACTGCTACTAGAGCTACAAGATTTCTTAAAAATTACCAATTAAATGTACTCAACAACATAACACTAACAGCCACTCTAATGTACTAGGTCAATATGTCCTATGTTTTCTTCACATAAGGGAGCTCCACTTTTTAAAAATGTCGGTGCTTTAAAGTTATATTAATTATTGCTTCATCAAAAAATTTATACCAAACGACAAATACCATTTTCTTCCTCATTTATCAACAAATATTGGTAACATCCCAGTTAGGCTCACTGTGAGGAGGGAGACTAACAACCCATCTAACTTCTACGCGGACTGAAAGAGCAGAACCGGACCCTGTGGGAGCCACGCGCACCGGCTATCCAAAGACAGCACAAGTGGCCCACCTGCGCTCTTCAAAAGGGTCAGCCTGTGTGCTGCCCTGGGAAGAGGCGCCTTGGCTGCCAGGAAGGGCAGATTCTGCCACCCGTGCTTTCCGGTTGCTGCAGCTAGAATATCATGGTAAAAAGGTCTCGTCCCTCAGCCGACCCTGCCGTATGCTGCGTTTAGTTAAATAAGTTGTTGTTCTTCTCTTCGACGTGAAGCCTTCATCATCTTTCCTTCACCTCCAGGCGGGACGCAGCAAGTCCGATACCCACAATACTTAGAATTGTACTCACTCTTCATAACAGTGTCAGTTTATGAATAAACAAGTAGAGCAGGGTCTCAGTAATCAAACTGATAATCATGCCCCACTGGGCGACAAAGAGAGAAGCAGCCGAAGTATTCCTGCACTGCTAATGCAAGAAGACAGGAGGACAATCAAAAATGCAGCAAAAGCAAGCAAGGTAATACTCACGTAATGAAGAGGGGTTTGTGGTCACGCGACACATCCAGGATGGTGGAGATGAGGTGACCTGCGCTGCATGGCTGGGAGGCCAGCAAGGAGTCAACGAGTTGCTCCACCAGGTGGCGCGAAGTGCTCCCATGATACCGGGGAAGCGTCAACCGTAGCACTTGGCACAGGCCACGCACAACAGGGTCGGCTAGGGATCCTGAAATTGAGTCAACAGGAACACCCAAGTCACCAACAAAAGCGTGTTCCGTAACAAAGGCTTTGTTACTAATTGTTTTTGAGCGAACCAGCATGAACAAAGACATGGACTTCAGCTGAACAGGAGGATTAGAGTGAAGCTATTTTATCACCACCATTCCTTCATTGTCTAAATATGGCTTTACTTTGTGCTAAATGTAAGTGTGACAGCGCTAGCGGAGTGTTGTCCCACGTTCACTAGAGGTCACATTCATCGGAACTTTTGTTTTACGGCAAGAATCGAAGAATTGTTCCCAAAGTTCAACTATGCCGATCTTGTACCAGGAGACATCAATTTCAAGCCAACACATTTCCCTAATTTCTGTCACTACCTAGTTTTTTATTTCTTCCTTGTTCTATTGGCAACCTGTAAATCCTGCTATAAACAACTGAACAGCTTTATACTGCACATTATGTGGACTGCCCAATGCTCCTTCTTACTCGTTAAGAGTGAAAAAGGGTGCCAATCGGATAAATTAGAATGTCTGTTACTCCCTGGGTATCTAAATCGATATCACTTTCGTCTGCTCAAGTTCCATAGCGAACTTCCAACTTTTTCCCCGGTGTTTCAGCACTAGGATACAACAGAGGCTTATAGGACTGGCCGAGCAAAAGGTCAGCAGACAGGAATACAAAGTAGTGTCTAGTCCGAGAGCAAGGTAGTCTTAGTCTTGACCATCAACAGTGCCGCTCTAGTAAATAATTTCATTAGAATCTTCTCATCAGTATTTATCCACGTGTAACATAGTGCTGAAGGTGGGCAATCTTCTTTACCACATGGCTCCACCGGTGGCCCCCTACATATAGCTTGCCCCATGAGAAACAACCAGTCAGTGTGGTCTACAAGACGTTTGGTGGCTCCACTTTTTTGAAGGGCCAATAAATAACCCCACTGTCCGAAAATTGTAATGAAGAGAAACATGCACACTTTTGCTAGGTGAACATGCTGCCAGAACATTTCGCTCCTACGTGCTATAAAAAGGAAGTTACAGTGGTTAGACCCTCTGTTTCAGCTGGTTTCAAATATCCATGCGGCCTCACCAATCTTCTCCGCCTTTGAGAAGGGAAGGCGCGTGCTCATCGTGATGACTCGGCCGCCTTGGGCCACGTGACATGACATATTCAATTCGTCATCTGCGCACAGCCAATGACCAAGCAGGGCTTTCCTGACATGAGCACGAGACATAGCGCTGCAAAAAGGAGACGCGGTGCGAGGAGCACCCTCCCACTAGTGTTAAAGTAGTGAGGCGCTTCTTTGCCTCAAAGGCTTTTGTTCTGGCAATACCGACTCTCCCGGTAGTCTCAGGCTCCACAAAAATGACAGAATCCGCACAGGAAAACAAAAACGCGGGCTGCGTGACTGAAACTTGATCACTGCAGAGTCGAGGCTCCGTTTCGTAGAGCAGAGCAGCAATCGATGAGCTCAGATGTACGTGAAATTGCCCATGGGCATGCTTGCGTCTACGCGCGTATGACGGGGATTGGTTCGACGCGGGAATTGTTTTTGAAACAGAAAGTCAGCACGTCGCACAACACTATAATACTCAGAAATTGTGATCACTGCAGTCTACTGTTAAAATTGGCGAGCTTGTTTGAGGGTGTAAAATAAAAGTTGGAGCCTGTTTACTGGCCCATCGATTGAGGGTAGTGTTAAGCTAATGATTTTGATAGCACATGTATGGCTAGTAACCACTGAGTGCGCTCCAAAACATTTTTTTCCCACTTCTGTAAATTTCCTTTTTGTGATAAGTGTTCCCAAGTGTAATTGGCGTCCACTACACACCATATATGCTAGCTGCCAATCATCAATTCGCCTGCAGTTGCCGGTCTATAAAGCATTACCATACACCCAGCCTTAACTGCACACACCATAGCAACTTACAGTTTTGCACAGGATGTTGTTATCACTTTTGGCCACAATTGAATAAGAACTACGAGTAAAAGTATACATGTAGAGTACTTGCAGTTTGAAACGGGACAATTCAGAGCTGTGTAACGAACATACTTCCGTTTGACCATTATCCTTAGTTTTGTTCATATCAGTGCAATTTGTGCTCCAACACGTAGGCCAAAGCCCGGATTTTCTTTAGAAATCACACTCATCACAACGTGACGTGGTTATCTCAAGCGTGGTCACCACTACACACAGACCTGCACAGCCTCCGTCTAGTCACTGATTAGCCCAGCATGACACGGCCACTTGCTGCACCACACTTCCGATAAAAGAGAGCGCCACGGCAGTTTTACCGGAGGCTTACGTCACCCCTGCTGGCTATATAACCCAAGCTTGGTTTTATGATCGTTTCTCTTGCCTTTCAAACACAGCGGCGGCATGCTTGTCTCGCTGCTGCTACCATGTTAATAAACTATCGTTGCGTTTTATGTTGGGATCCGTCCTTCTTGACCCTGCATCCCACATAAACAATGATTCATAGCAATCATTATACTAAAGGATTTGATGTTGTATATGAACCCGTGAGTTCCGTATTTGAATATTGGTTATGAATATGTTAAGGTACCACACAGGCCCATGGCGACACCCCACCTTCCCAAGTTCGGATGGGGGGGGGGGGGGGGGGCTGTTTTACTGAGGACAAGTAATACAAATAGGCATTTTTCAAGGTATTCAAAAAGTGCCCTCCCTCCCCCCCGCTAAAAAAAATCCCAGTTATGGCCCTGCACCACATGACCAAATAAAATGTAGTAGTCCCCCCCCCTCATAGCATGCCTTTTAATAATTGTGTAATAATATTTACATTGCGTCTATAAACTGCAATGTAAGGGTGCTTTATAGAAATAAAACCTCAGAATTTGTTTCACAAAATGACACGAACCGTGACACACAGGCCAGATATTTATGGTTGTCTGATGAAGTTAACCGGTCCAACATTAATTACACCATGCAACCAGAATAAGAACTACCTCTCCACATGTCAAGAGCATGCAGGCAGGTGACCCATTTCACTAGCTTTAGACAAATGGCCAAGCAGAAATAATCAGTTCTCATTTCTCTAGTTTTAGACAAATGGCCAAGCAGGAATAATCAGTAGCGAGTTCACACTGTGTGTGTCCTGTAGTATTCATAGCTTCTACAAGCTATCTAGTCCAGCCATTTTTCAATGTGCCAACTCGCCAACCTTTTGCTTGCGGCCTGCACATGAAACTCTTTGTCCCATATTTTTTTAATAAGATTGCCGCTGTTTGTTATATTAATATATGGTGCCTGCATAATTTTCTCATCTTTTGTGATCAATAACGCTTTGTTCGGGTGAGCTAAACAAACATGACTGGTCATACAGATTTTTTTTTTTTTTTACGTGAAGCTTTTAAGGCGGATCTTTGTCACCTTGTCTTCTTATATAACCTAAGAACAAAAACTTCAGGATTACCACCGAGATTTTGATCATTGCGAAGATTGGTACCGAGATGTTGCTGGCGTCGATATGTGGGTTTTAACGTCCCAAAACCACTATGATTGATTGGTTTGTGGGGTTTAACGTCCCAAAACCACTATATGATTATGAGAGACGCCGTAGTGGAGGGCTCCGGAAATTTCGACCACCTGGGGTTCTTTAACGTGCGCCCAAATCTGAGCACACGGGCCTACAACATTTCCGCCTCCATCGGAAATGCAGCCGCCGCAGCCGGGAATCGAACCCGCGACCTGCGGGTCAGCAGCCGAGTACCTTAGCCACTAGACCACCGCGGCGGGGCCCAAAACCACTATATGATTATGAGAGACGCCGTAGTGGAGGGCTCCGGAAATTTAGACCACCTGGAGTTCTTTAACGTGCACCCAAATCTGAGCACACGGGCCTACAACATTTCCGCCTCCATCGGAAATGCAGCCGCCGCAGCCGGGATTCGAACCCGCGCCCTGCGGGTCAGCAGCCGAGTACCTTAGCCACTAGAACACCGCGGCGGAGCGATGTTGCTGGCGTCCTGACCCATATACGAGAACTGACGTGATATACCACTCACAAGAAAGGCCTCTGAAACTGCAATGTGGGCAATCATTTTATTCTAGATCTTTCCCCTCTTCACGGTCCCAGCCCTATGTGGGACTAAATTTCGTGACTGTTGCTAGGTAGCTTATGTGAGCTTGAGGCCCCTGCTACAGCGGATCACCCTCACCAGTGACATCTAGTAGTTTTGTCTATACCACACATTTCTTGTGGATGCTGCTTGCTCAGGGTCTCTTGATTTGATTTGCCGATCAAGCTACCTGTCCAGTCTTACACCAGTTTTCAAAAAACTCCTTTACATGTTATTTACGTTGGGTATGCAGTATGAAAGTGAATGATCCATACTGCAAAAGCATCGTCGACATTAAGTGCAGTGCCCTTGCTTCCTCTAGAGCATGGGGTCAGACACCTGCAGCCCGCGAGGCAGTATTATACGGCCTTCAGTGCGACGTCACAGCCCCTCCCCTCGACAATCTTTATCTGACGGCCGAGACGACAGTTGTGACCTAAAAACGGATTTTTGCTCTTAGCCTGTGTTTCATTGAAATCTTGTAATATGCGTCCTGCAGATAAGCTTCATTTTTAATGCGGTTTCGTACAGTACTGTCAATACGCTGAATGTTATCATTAAATGATTGTGTGGTCCACCATTGTGTCGACTCCACCAAACTGGGCTCTCCACCTGAAAAGGTTGCCGTCTCCTGCTCTAAAAAAGTATCCGCCCTGATTTCTTGGAAGGCTTTGTCAAAAAAAAAAGGGGCGGGGGAGGGGCGATTTATGGTAAAACATTACTTTTGCATCTCATACTTGAACTCAGCCAACATTTGTAAGAGGAATGTTGGCTGAATATGCCTCCAGTACTCGACACTGCCATGCTTTACAAATTTATCAGCAACCTTGCAGGTTTGCCTGAAAGCGAGTGCGGGCTTTCAAAAGTAAGTTACCCATTCATGAATCTCATAAAAAGTGGCGGATAGTAAATGAATGAGGAGTCAGTGCAGTCCTCGCATTTTTCTTATTCCTATTTCTGCCATGACTAAACTTTCCCTTTAAAAATGTCGCAGCCCAATGCATCCTCAATGCACAGCTGACAAACAGGGGCGGTGGTCTTCCATACTGCAACACACTCGGACGAGCCGTCACGATCCTTTTGAAAACCTGACGCTGTGATTCCTGCGAATGAGGCGGAGAATGTGCGGTATCCAATCGCGCTCATAACGGTGGCGGGATATCGGGTTCTCGAGCTCCCACAATGAATGAAGGGTTAGTTATGGCGCCGTGTATGTCGAAAGGAACCCACCAATGCACAGCGAACGTTCACCCGAGCCCGCGTGGTCCGCGCACTGCATTCCGCCCCGCGCTTCGTGCAAGATCCAATTCAGGAACTCTGATGCCCCGCCTGATCGAGCAGTTGTGCGATCGTTGCAAGCAAGCCGCGACTGGCGCGAAAATTATCTACGGTGGATTACTAAACCAGAATAAAGACCCCGTCGGTCACTGTACAAAAGGAGGGCAATTACACACCATTGCAGCAACCGCACCGGCTTAAGATCGTCATCGTCTTCGCAGATAGATACAACTCTCGAACCTATTTCGTTCACTTCAAAAAGATTACTAAAAAAAAGCTCCGATCCCGCAAATGCCACGAGAAAGACGACGGGCAGGCGTAGCCGCAATTCTCGGCAACACGTGCAAGTTATCGAGGTCGGTGCCGCATTTTGACGGTGCAGAAAAACTTCGCATAGGGCGCGACTCCTGAAGCCGCTGTGACACGTCACGCGGGCGAAATTGCCGGCCGGCAAAGTGATATTTTCTGTCCCTGAATGTGCGCAAACTGAGGAAGACTTTTACCGGTTTTTGCCGCTTCGTCCAGCTGGCAGAAGAGCTCCTTGCGAGTGACAAGCTTGGACGTTTGCACTTTGACCGGGAGGTCTTTGAATACTGGAGGTACCTGCAAAGAAACGATGTTTGCCTGTGCATTTTGATCCTTCCATCGTAACGGATGCACTCGGGGCGGCTACACAGAGGCAGCAATATTTAAGCTGTGCTAAACATTACTGCAAAAACTTACTTCCACTCCTGCCATGACCACTATTCACAGGCAGCACTCACGGCGTGGAAAAACATGACGTGCGGCGATGGCCATGGCGATGCGGAAGCTGGCAACGCTCGAAACAGAAACTTGGCATCAAAACAAACGTAAAATAAAAGACGTATGTCAATATTTGGCTAACATTTTTCGTGCGTTTAGTTGTTCAATAACGATGGACTAAAGAAACATACCAACATCGCATTTTTTTTACACCTACGTACCATTCCTGCCCACCCCATATCCTCCCTCCGCTTTCTCTATCTCTTTGATTAAGCGGGCTACGCCTCAATGACAAAGATAACACCAAAAGTTAACCCAGACAAACAAACTAAAACGTGGAATTTTGAAAGGCCTTACTACACAGCCACGACGCCGAAGAACAACGCAAAGTCATCGGTCTCGCCCTCAACGTTGTCGAGTCCCAAGGGATTCCGGCCGATGGCTAGGGTATGGTGGCTAGAAGGAGGCGTTCGGTGGCTCTTTCTAGCCACCATAACGCTGTTATCGCCGCTTGCGCAGTTTTGTTATCGCCGCTTGCGCAAATACTAAAAATGAAGTTTGATCAGTTGATTGTCCGCCATGTTCATGCGAGACAAAGAAGAACGGATGGGTGGCTGCATGGTAAAGCAGTGCAGGAGACAGATCCCATGTGGTATCTCGCGTATATCAACGAATCTAGTGCATGTACGCTGTAGACGTCACGGGAACTACTGTCTACGTCACAGCAGTGCGCCAAGAATGACGAAAAAGATCAGGAAAGAATATTGCGCTGTGTGTGTGTGTGCGTGTGTGTGTGTGTGTGTGTGTGTGTGTGTGTGTGTGTGTGTGTGTGTGTGTGTGTGTGTGTGTGTGTGTGTGTGTGTGTGTGTGTGTGTGTGTGTGTGTGTGTGTGTGTGTGTGTGTGTGTGTGTGTGTTTTGGGAGCCTAGGGAATGGCCCTTGAACGCGTTTACTCGGCTACCAATGGTCTTCTAGCTCCAAGACACGCCAAGAGTAGTTATTTGTAGCGTAAAGCGTTGTTAACTTTTTCGAGTAAAATCCCTTTTCTCTTTGGTGTCCCTCAAAAAATATGAAACAGAGCAGATGGGCAGAAGTGTTCCAGTGTTCGTATAAGAACAGCGCTGACTCTTAATGCAGTGAAGAAGAACTACAAGATCCTCATCAGCCAGTAGTACATGATCGAGCGGCAGTGCAAGTGATATGGCAAATAAATAATTAAGCGATAAATCTGAGAAGCGGGAAGAAACTTTGTTATATATAGAATACTGAAACAGAAATTGTGGCTTCAATATTTTGCAACGAACGCTGTTATGAGATCGAAACTCGGGTCACGCGCGACACTGTAGTTGTCCACTACCACCGCCGGTGTCCCTAACCACTATCACAGAAATAGCAAAAAAAAAACGAGTACCAAGGACACAGTATAGGGCTCGAACCCGGGTCACTGCGTGCCAGCCGAGTATTCTGCCACTGACTCGCGCCATTTCTTTTTTCTTTTGCTTTATGGCTGTTCTTAGGCGCGTACACCAAACCACAAGCATAACAGAAACAAGCAGTGACAGTCCTACGAGAGGGACACAAACTGAAATTCCGTAAGTGCTGCCAAGGGTTCTACCCTCGACAACCACTCAGGTACAATCTCCTGAGTTTTATGCAGTTCAGCAAACTTGTTTATACAATCACGGAAATACATTCCTGCAGTCCGTGCATTCTGATCGCAATAAAATCCCGCCATATGGACCCGCCATAAACAGTGAAGGCCACATAGCATAATTAAATCGAAAGGCGTGTCCTCTTGGTCAACTATTGGCAGAAATCTTATACCATAAGTATTCAAAAGTAATTCCTTCTTTATCGTCCTTTGAAGAACATAACAAAAATATGCTCCTTCCTAACAATATAAGAAAACATAATCCATGGTTTCTGGTTTTTCACAAATAAGGCAGTTTGTCCCCTAAGGTGAGTAAAAACCATGGTCTGCTTCAAATCTCCCAACAGATAATGTACCAGTGGGAAGCTTTAAAAAGAAGGATTTCGTGGCGGGAGCCACTAGCATTCCCTTCAGTCGCTTAAACACATCTTGACCTTGACCTCCAGTGTGCATGGACGGTACAAGGGGTTCAGGTAGGACAATGTCACACACATCTTTGCACAACTTCTTGTGAGTCACCGAAAACAACTATTCATTGGAAAATCTAACAGATCAAAATCGTACACTTAGAATAACCTCCTTGCCCCGCCGCGGTAGTCTAGTGGCTAAGGCACTCGGCTGGTGACCCGCAGGTCGCGGGATCGAATCTCGGCTGCGGTGGCTCCACTTCCGATGGAGGTGGAAATGTTGTAGGTCCGTGTATTCAGGTTTGGGTGCACGTTAAAGAACCCCAGGGGGTCGAAATTTCCGCAGCCCTACACTATGGCGTCTCTCATAATCATATGATGGTTTTGGGACGTTAAACCCCACATATCTATCTAGAATAACCTCCTTAAGATACCCGCGGACAGCAACGGTCATGTTATTCGTACTAACCACATATCCAGGTAAAAACCTGCATCAGTCTCATTTGACACACTGTACGTAAGAAAGGATCTCTCGAGTAGCGAAAAAAGAAAAGAACCTATTTACGACTTGACGTATAAAAAGATGTGGTAAACCCAGGTCTCCGTGTTTCACTCTTCAAAACAGATTGGTTCGACTTCATCTCTCCCAGATCGAGGCCCACACGAACACTGTGAAGATGCGATGGAGCTTCTGTATACTTGCCCTTGAACAATCCAATACTTGTATTGCATACCAGAGTTATGAGGAAAAAAAATTGATTGTTTGATATGTGGAATTTAACGTTGTAAAGCCACCACATGATTTTGAGAGGCGCTGTTGTGGATAGCTCCAGACACATCGACCACCTGGGGTTCTTCAACGTGCACCCAAGTCTGAGCACACGGGCCTAAAACATTTCCGCCTCCATAGGAAATGCAGCCGCGGCAGCCGGCATTTGATCCCGCGCCCTGCGGGTCTGCAGCCGAGTCCACTAGACCACCCTGGCGGGACTTGAGGCAAAAAAGATTGCACACCCTCGAAAACGCTGACAGATGATTACGGTTGCATATTGGCTTTCGTCCGAATTTCTTTCGTTTGTTCTTGATAGTTCTCGTTATCTTTATAATACATGTCAGTGGCACACCAAGGTACTTGACAGGTGTGGTCGTCCGCTTAACATTGGCAAAATCGTCCGGTCTGGACGACCACTCTCCATGCCAGAAGCCCAGACACTTTCCCGTGTTCACTATAGGCTGCTAGTTGCATTGCCGAACCCTTTAACTGCAATGATGGTGGTGGTAAGACTATCTTAATCGGTACAACAAACAGCTACATCCTCTGCCAGAATTTCAACTTCAGATTGTTGTAACCTAAAGCCATGAATGCTACTGTTTTGAGTTATTGCTAAGCACAACGATTCTATATATAAACTAAACAGTGGGGGACTCAGCGGGCAGCCCTGACGGGCAGAACGCTTTATGTTAATCGTATCTCCAAGCGTTTTGTTGATTACCAGACGGGTCGTGCAATTCCGGTATGCCATAGATACCCCATCTCTGACTACGGTACCAACGTTCACATGGTCAAGAATGCTGAGAAGAAGGTTGTGGGAAACACAATCAAAAGCTTTCTCGAGATCAATCTGTAGATTGACTACCCCTACTTGATTCGCATCGCAACACTCGAGCATACAGCGCATCTTGTGTTTATAGGTCACCATGGAGCGTCCCATAATCCCGCATGTTTGATGGGGCCCAATGAATTCTTTGATTACCCCCTGAAGTCGCCGTGCTAGTATAGTACTTTCATTAAAATTTTGTAATCACAACTTCTTTCCCATATATATATATATATATATATATATATATATATATATATATATATATATATATATATATATATATATATATATATATATATATATGGGAAAGAAGTGTATACCTAAGGGCTCGTTTTTCCGTGTTTTTTGACACAATAATAATGAGATCTGACAGACAATAATGCCAAGGAATGTATAGGGGAATTCATTAGAACAAATGTAATGTAAATAAGAAGAAAGAAAAGTGTGTCAAAAGATAACCTACCGTGAGGGTAGGTTATCTTTAGGGTAAGGTAGGACTTTAATACTATTATGTCTACAGGTCTACAGTGATCTACAGGCTGGCGATGCAGATTATAAAGGAAAGACTACAGGCATAGATAGAGGATGAGGGGGTGCTGGGGGAGCTGCAGAATGGGTTTCGGAAACACAGGAGGTTGGAAGACAATCTGTTCTCACTGACGCAGTGCATCGAAATAGCAGAAAAGGAACACAGGCCCCTGTGGCTAGCATTTTTGGATATCAAGGGAGCGTACGATAGCGTGGTTCAAGAGGAATTGTGGGGAATACTGGACACACTAGGCGTGGAACATGTAGTCACTAATCTTTTAAAGGATATCTATAAAGGTAACAAGGTAGTTATAAAGTGGGAAAAACAGGTATCCAAGCCTGCAGAGGTAAAACGGGGGCTTAGGCAGGGGGGTCCCATGTCACCCTTATTATTCATGATGTACCTACAAGGATTAGAGGCCAAATTAGAGGGAAGTGGACTGGGCTTCAACCTCTCTCTAGTCAAACAAGGAAAACTCATTCATCAGGCACTACCAGCATTCATCTACGCAGATGATATAGTGCTAATGGCCAACAACAAGGAAGAATTGTAGAGATTGATGGACATCTGCGGTAATGAGGGAGATAGGTTAGATTTTAGATTCAGTAAGGAAAAATCAGCAGTCATGATTTTCAATGACAACGAAGGTAGTGAGCTTAGAATACAGGAGGTCGATCACGCTAGAGATAACAGATAAATACAAATATCTGGGCGTATGGACAAGCAATGGGACCCAGTACCTGAGGGAACACGAAATATACGTGACGACTAAAGGTAACAGAAATGCAGCAGTGATGAAAAATAAGGCACTGTGGAATTACAATAGGTATAAGATGTTGTGAGAGGAATATGGAAAGGGGT